TTAACTTCAGGTTTCTGTAGGGCTATTTTCCTTAAGAATTTGCTGGTAACATTCGCTGCCGCCCACGTTTGTGTTTATTGAAGGGCTTCTTGCACTGTCCATGCAATACAAGGTATTTTTGGCTAGCCCAGGAATCAATCTTCACAAGCATGGGGAAATTGGAAATAGAATAGGGCATTGTCATGTTTCTTAATGCAATTACTAAAGCATAAAGTCATATGCAACAGAAAATATATTTGTATTCAAGTGATTTCTGCGAATTCGAACAGGGGATACTCAGGGAAAGAACAGGGAGACATCAAGCTGTCTCCATGCTCCCCTGAATATCCCCTGTTTTTCCTTTCTAAACAAGCATCACATTAAAATATGTAGCTGACACAATATGTTCACATATCAAACTGAAAGTTACAAAGACAAAATAAAGCAATTTTTTAATACAATTTTACACTAAATTTTCAAAGAGAGAATTATACAGTTTTACATATGGCTTGCTACAAAAACATAGAAAAATACACACAGAGAGATTAACTCTTCTATCTAACCTGTAGCATTGTAAAGGTTACCTCATTTGTAGTCCTAGCCTATCATCTGGATGTTCTTGCACGCATAGAAGACCCATATTAATGCATCTTATTACTTCTGATGTTGTAACTGATTTCTCCATCAGAGCATCTACCAGCTGCAGGGCTTTGTCTTCATTCCATAATTTCCATGCCTAAAACAGTTCTAACCTTATCTTAGAATCTAAGTAAAAGTTTGAAACAAAAAATAAGCAAAAAACAATTAAATTGGTCTGCACAGAAATGAAAGATATCAAACTCACATGTCCTAGAAGGTTCATGTCATAGTTGGAATGGTAAAATCCTCTGTTCCTTTTCCCACTTATTATCTCTAAGACCAATACCCCAAAACTAAAGACATCAGATTTCACTGAAAAAAGTCCTCCTATTGCATATTCAGGAGACATATAGCCACTGCAGATGATATGTAAAATAAATCAGTGAATGTAATACAATGCATGCATGCGTATGCGCTGGTATCAGTAGAGAAGAAGGTAAAGAGAGAATTGTTGCACAGACTAAGTACCAACAACCCTAGTCGTATTTGCTTCAGTTTGATCACCTCCAAATATTCTTGCCAAGCCAAAATCTGATATTTTGGGATTCATATCTCTATCTAGGAGAATGTTGCAGGCTTTGCGATCCCTATGAATGATTCTTAACTGTGAATCTCGATGAAGATAAAGAAGTCCTCTTGCAATCCCGACTATGATATCAAAGCGTTTCCGCCAGTCAGCTGGTACTTCACTTTCTTGATCTGTATCACTTTATGGTGTTCAAAAATATTATAAAGCAGTAGATTCAGCAATTAGAAATTATAAAGTTTTCTTGATAAGAACTAACTGTATAGATAGAAGTCCAAACTTCTGTTGTGCATGTACTCATAGGTCAGCATCTTCTCCTCTCCATGAATGCAACATACCAAAAGCTTCACAAGATTCCGGAGCTGAAGTTTTGCAATCAAGATGACCTCATTCTTGAACTCTTGGAGGCCTTGCTGTGAGTCTTTTGAGAGCCTTTTCACAGCTATTTGTTGTCCTGTTGGGCTGTACTTGATCATAATTTGGTGTTAGCATATAAACCAGGAAACCAATGCAGCTTCCTATGACTTGCTTGGTATTCAATCTTTTCAACTTAAATTTTAATTTTGTTGTAGAATCGCTACATCGTAAACATGAACAAATCCACCTGCTCCAATTTTATTTGTGAATGAGTAGTCGTTGGTTGCAGTTGCGACAGTAACCATATCAATTGAGGGCAGGTCTAGTTCTTCCTCCCCAGCACCAGGGTCATAACCTTGATTTGGATTATGCACAATTTGCACTAACAATTTGGCAAATAATCAGCAACAAATACAGAAAATCAAGTGCATACATACCCCTTAATTGATGGCAAATAAAGGAGGATAATTATTTACAAATTAAAATAAGAGAACTCTAAGAGTGGAGAAATATTTGCAGGAGAGCTTAAAATTACCTTGTCTCCTTTTATGGCCTCTCTTCCAAGTATGGTAACAGCTAATTAAAACCAGCAGGAGTACCCAACAAAATACGATGACTATAACAATCACCATCTTATGTCTGACTTTTTTTTCTGATTCTGTCAGCATCAACAAGCGGATGGAAATAAGTAAGACATAAGAACCGACTTAAAGGAAAGAAAGTATAAGAGGATATTGAGAAAAAACAATAAAGGTTTCTACCTTGCTGCTATAAATTATGGCAGCAACCCAGCTACCCACTGATGTTGATCAGTGTCTTAATGGAAGGCAGACCCTGGTGCCTAAGTACTATTACCTTCTCATATTATCTTTTAAGAAAATGTAAATAATAGAAGATGCCATTAAGTTGACAAGCAAAGAAGCTTTACTTATTTGGGCCTTTCATGCAAAGTGTGCACTATTGCTTAACTGTAATGATGTTTTCAATGATGGGCTCAGATTGTGCTTCTATTAACCCTTTTGAATAAAGAAAAATATGCAACTGAAATAACTGGGTTCTTGCACTGTCAGAGTCAAAATCGTCTTAGTTATAGAAGCTCTTACCAAGTTCCAGTGCAGCCACCCTATTGTATAAATCTTGCCCACCGTTGCTATACTTTCTCATATCAAGCAAGCTCCCAAACCACTTGACACACTTATTCGCATCAGTTCGAGCATAAGCCGCACAGGAACAGTTCCTTAAGCCAGCAACTTCACATTCCATTCGATTCATAGATGCCCCTTGGAGAAAATAGTGCGGATCGTCTGGCAACTTCAACCTGGAAATCTTCCTAAATCCCTCAGCCATGCTGCAGTTCAATTCTATCCTCCGACTGCGTCCCCCAGACCTCAAAACCATTCCAATCTTCCGGTCTTTTTGGAGTGAACCCACTGGGGCAGCGGCAGTAAAGTTCCTTGTTCACATTACATATGCCATTACGACCACACTTCGCATAAGCATCACATTCATCTCTCTGCAAATTGTACACAACAACCCACTCTCCACGCCTTTTGTTCCACGTGAGGTGTTGAAGCAAGCATGATTGGTTTAATACGAGCCTTGAAATACTGTTGTGTTTGTTTTCGAATAAATAGTAGACGAAGGTCGAATTGGACGCAAAGATGGGCTTGAAACAGTGTTTTCTTGGAGTTTAAAACTGCTAAATTGGACACCATCCAACGGACCACTTCGGAAACTTATACTTGATCCACTGCGAAGAGCCAGTTGTGGAAGACCAATGGCTTGTAACTAGTATGTATAATCTCCAGTTGATGGATCTTGTAGACTCCTCGATGATGAAAAGAGCCAGTTTTGATTGGTTCTTAGGTTCAATCCAAGCTTCATGCCTGGAATCAACGTGTCACACGGATGATCAAAACTCTGCCAAACGTACCTGTCACTATCAGCATCCTTAACAACAAGATTTCCTGTGTCTAAGAGCTTCAAAACAGAATTGTTTGAAGTTGTCGATGAATTTGAAGACCAAATGGGAACAGTTGATTCGTTTTTAGGGATGAACATGTTTCCCGTGGAGGTTATAGTGAGGGTGCCTGATGAATCAGTTGATCGTCTCTGTTGGCAACCCTAATAACTGTTTGTTGTGGAACATCTTCAAACCATATTCCAACGTAATGGTTGTTGGAATTCCAGTGACTGAAGAATCCTAACACAACTTTGTCCAGCGGAAACAAGACCTTCACCGTTGTCTCTGAGATTTTGATTTGGAGATAGGGTGTCAACTGCTGTGGACAATTTGACGGTGTGAAATGTGAGATAGAAGAAAATGGAAAAGAGGATCACCATAGATATGTAATATCAGTTGACAGTTATGGAACTATCTCCAGAGACACGAAAGAGCAAATTTAACAAGTTGATAAGCTAAAAACTTTCCTAGAAGTAGAAGTAAAATCTGTACTTAATTTCTTTTAAAAGAAAAAGAGATGAAATCTCTGTGATCAAAACCCCAGAAGGGAAAATTTGTCCTAGAATGCAACTGTTTCCAACTTGAACAGTTGCTTTCAGGATTTACATTTGCAGCCTTCTCTTATGGTTCAAAGCGTTATTGTTCCTTATCATACATAAAATGTATGGTAGAAGAATATGAGCTCTACAGGAACATATTGATCCAGCTCTCTGGACTTTCTTGGCTTTCATTTTTCTCGGCAATAGCCACGCTAAAACACCATGGACTCAAGGCAGATTTATGTTCAATTGCAAAGGTGATTGTCAGAAGAACCAAAAACAAACAAAATTTCCTCATTTTTTCCAAATAAAAAACAAGGAGAATGCCAGAAAAGCCAAATTCTCGATTACTACTTTTGCCGTCATAAACCAGCAGCGGTCTCCTTTGGCAACGTTAATATAGAGACCAAGTGCAGACGCTTTTCAGGACATCAGAAATGTAGACATCTTTTGCTTCAAACAGTTCAATTTATAAGTTAATTTTTGGTCATGTGGTTCTATGAATTGTTTTCGAGTGTATCATCTTCACGGTTGATGTGCTCAACAATTCTTTATTTATTTTAGTACCCTTCCTCTAGTACCCTCTTTGATGTTTCATGGGCAGTCCATCTACATATATTATTTGCTGCTTAATATTATCCAAGAAATCTTCCATTGCAGATAAGCCATACGATATTCACAAAATACGAATTTTTATTGCAAATTGCAATTAAGGAGTGAAAGGAATTGTTAATCAGTTGAAATATTTGGAGCAGCACTGTTTAGTGGATATGTAACTCCCTCTTAAAACCAGAAGTAATTAAAAGAAAATGATAAAACTTTTTTCCCAGTGGATGAAACCTACCTCTGTAATAGCCAGGTTGTCTTGGTTGAAGCACCATGAGATTTTCACTGTCCAGCTTTGGCAAAGCAGATAAAATTGCAGGCCTGTCTTCAAGACGTGCTTGTACACACTAGGCCAACTTGGATGCATCCTAACCCCTCTGAGAGGGTAGTTGAGTTCTCGATCAAAATATCTGTTTGCTCCAAGCCCCTAGCTTCAATCCACAATTTCCACATCTTACACAAAAAAATGGAGGAAACTCAACAGGAAGCATTTGTTGTAAACTAGCATGCCCTTAGAGATTAAGATCATCGTCTGGATCATAAGAACGCTTTATTCTTCTTCCTGATAATTAACTCCAGTGCAAGCACGGCAAATCTAAAGACATCATATTTCTGTTGAGACGAGTCCATCTTTTGCATAATCAGGAGTTCAGAGGCAGCCTAGCTTGCACGATATCAGATAAACGTGGTAACGCAAGACTTACGGTGCCTCACAGGGTCACAACTTAGCAAATGTATGCTAGACTCTACCTGGCAACCTTGTGCTGGTTGTGTGCTATTTTGTTTCATGATTGAATCTTGAAAAACAAGGCCCCTTCGAATTTAACTCTGCTCTTTGCTATGTGAAAGTAAACTGAATTTGTATAATTACTGAACTAGGCCTATCGTCCACCTATGTCTGTGACAGTCAGATCATTGGCTGTATGTAGATTATTTACACTCGACGAAGTATCTCCGCCTGAAGAAATTTCTGTACAGAAGCCAGGTTCTTTTGGCTGGGGTACCATTATGCTTTCATTGCTCAACATCAACAACACTGATGACATTGTTGGCCTATCTTCCATCCGCTGCTGTACACACAGAAGACCCACCTGGATGCATCTTACCACTTCATTCTCAGAAATTGTTCCCTCCATCAATTCATCCATTAGATCAAGTGGATTCCCTTCGTTCCATAGTTTCCATGTCTAAAAGGATTCAAACAAGTGTGTAAAATGTCATGTTGACATCCCATTTCATTAGAAAAATCATATTATTAAGCAAGAAGAGAAATTGGGTAAAGTTTTTATTTTTATCCTTACATGTCCAAGCAGGTTTAGATCATGGTCAGGGTGATAAAATCCCCAATTCTTTTTGCCGCTTACTATCTCTAAAACCAAAACACCATAACTAAACACATCTGATTTCACTGAAAAATGCCCACCCATTGCATACTCTGGAGACATATAACCACTGCCAAAGATAAGAATTTTAGTATCTTTAACATTAGAAATGAACTTCAACATATAATTAGAGTACTTACTATGTTCCAATTACTCTTTTGGTCATTTCTTGTGTTTGTTCTCCAAAAATCCTTGCTATGCCAAAATCTGAAATTTTAGGATTCATCTCGCCATCCAGTAAAATATTACTTGCTTTAAGATCTCTATGTATAATTCTCAGCCTGGAGTCTTGATGCAGGTACAAAAGTCCACGTGCAATCCCAATAACAATGTCGAAGCGCTTCTTCCATATCAAAAATTTTCTTCTTGTTTTATCTGCCAAAATGTTGACAGTAACAGTTGTTAAGCATTGTTTGTCTTGTAATTGATAAATCTATGACGTAAATTGAGAATTATGCAAATGACTGAAACAGTCAGAATTCAATCATCAGATGAACAAACCAAATAGGAACTGGTCCAGGCTTTTGTTGGGCTGATACTCATAGATTAGCATCCTTTCTTCTCCCTGGATGCAGCACCCCAGAAGCTTAACAAGATTACGATGTTGAAGTTTAGAAATCAGAATCACTTCATTCTTAAATTCTCGAAGGCCTTGTCCAGAGTTCTGAGAAAGTCTCTTCACTGCAACTTCTTGTCCAGTGGGTAAGACGCCCTACAGAAAATATCCAGCATCAGATATACAATCTTTTTGCTATCTTGTTGTCATAGTTGATTTAATCACAAAAAGCAGTAACATAAGCAATGAGAACGACCTTGTACACCGGACCAAATCCACCCTCTCCAATCTTTTTCTCAAATGAGAATTTATTAGTGGCTGCTGAAACAACATCTAGCCCAAAAAGAGGTAGTTCTAGGTCTTCCTCCTGAGTTTCATCATTGGTATCTCTGTATGAATTGTTTTCACTTCCTGCTGCTACAGGGGAATCAAGCAGCTAATTAAAGGAAAGACATGCCTCTTGTGCTTTTGTGTAAGTGTAACCGAAGTGCTACTTGATGTGATCAATTACTAAAGTAAAACTCTTCCAATATAATAAAATCTACAGGAAATAAATAGTTAGCTCAAATTGTCATAAAAATGATTCAGTTCCTTACATTCGGTCACCTTAGACTTTCTCAAATAAATTTTTTGGATGAATAACAAGTATAAACCAATTGACTATTACTTTTGCACCCCTTCTTATCAGAAACAATGTGCCACTTAATTATCAGATAAGCTCATTTAGTTTGAACTGCTGAGAATTATCAGGAAGAGAACTTTATCAATGTGAAAGGACTGGAGCTCCTCCACACTCTCCACAAGTGGCTTGTTGCCAATCCACTAAAACTTAACAGCTAAATAGTTTATTCTTAATTCGTTTATAAAATCCAGGGCAGCCATATATAGTCTGCTTATGTTCACTGTAATGGATTCCACTACTATCAATTCTGTCAACACACAATTTTTGCTTGCTACTGCTTAAAAATGGCAGTGGCTACAAACAAGATGCTTTGCAGATGGGAAATGAAGAGTGCATAATTAGTTAATTGCAAATGTTAGTTCATTTTATAGTTTTCAATCATCATAGACCTCAAAGATCATGTGGATTTTGGTTTAGATTAAAAAACAAAAGCATTAGCAAAAAGATCAGTGATCAATCAGGTAAATTAGGGTTCTTACCTCTTCTGATCTTTGCCTTTCTTGATAGGTAAATGCGCCACACAAGGAACCCCAGAAGCATGCCTAAAACTATTGACATGGTGATTAAAGCAGCTACCTTCACTCGTTTCTTCCTCTTAGCCTCAGCAATTGACTCTGGCCACCGAACAATGTTCCAAAAATAAATTACTCTGTTCTATATTCATACACCTTTACTGGCTTGAGGTCAAGGGACTATTTTTGCTGCTAACATTGTTAATGTAGTAACGTCCAAAAACTAAGTTTATATTGCCTTACAAGCTTACAATGAAGAATTTTTCATCCAAGCATATGTCACAAGCCAGAGAGCACTCCTACATAAGAAAGATGGCCAACGGAGATCTGGTTCACATCTGGAGAAAAGTTTGGTCTATTATCCATTGAACATGACCTGCTCTAGAGAATCTAACGCTACCCATCAATCTTCCAGTTTTAATTTACCACCACACTTGAAGTGAAGAAATGGCATGCAAAGGGCAGCTATGAAGCAATTATTATACAGACTCTTTACTAACTTGGCTACCAAATGCAAATTACTTAACCAGTGATCAGTGAATTATAATTCTGGGAATACCATAAAAGTAAAAAATATGGCTTAACTTCCTAGAGAAATCAAACACTGCAAAGTGTAAATTATTACCATATAAAGGTTCATTTGAGTATGTATGTGTATTTTTTGTACCAATTAGCTGGCAGTGCGTACCTAATTCTGCTTGTGCCATTCGAATGTAGAGGTTGCTCCCACCATTCGGAAAGTGTTTCATGTCAACCAAATCACCAAACCACATAACACAATCTCCCCCATTTCCATGAATATCTATCCTGGTGTAAGCCATACAAGAACAATTCTTTAAACACTCTGCCTTGCATTCCTCAGAGCTCAAACTAAAATTTCTATTTGTCACTAAGTGAGAATTATCAGGTAATTTCATTCTGTCGTACATGACAAAGCCATCTCCGTTCTGACAATCCAAACCCCTTTTCCTCACACATCCATCTGACCAATCGATCAGTCTCCAATTTTCTGGAGACTTGGGTGTAAAACCCCTCAAACACCTACAATTAGGATCATCAGCATAGCAGTTTCCATAAGGCCCACATGACTCGTACCTGTCGCAACTGTCTCTTTGCAAGGTCACCATAAGTGCCCACTCATTGCTATGGTTCGTCCATGTGAGATACTGAAGCAACCCTTGCGATGTCACTACAAACCTTGACAGAATTGAACTGTCATCAACTTTAAACGTGTAGTATATCTCTTCACGGCTTGAATTGAACTCCGGAGTGTAAACAGGATTAGGCCTGAGCTCATTGCTGCCACTGAACCTGACCCGATCCCATGGTCCCCATCGGTACTCTTTCTGGTCCCCCTTCCTGAGAACCAATTCTGGTGCCTCAGGTGGGTCCAGGCTGAATGTGAAATCCCCCGTTGCTGGGTCATCAGGGGAAAGCCATGATGTCATATTTCGTTTCAAACCTGTCTTAAGGTTCCAACCAAGTTTCATGCCAGGCAACAACGTATCAGTTATATAATCAAAACTTTGCCATAAATAATCCCCACCATCGCCAGTTAGCACAAGGTTGCCATTGTCTAAAAGCTGTAAGACAGGATTGCTCAAGGCCCTGGTGACATTAACAAACCAGATAAAAACTGTACCGTTGGAAAGAGAAAGTGAACCCTGAGGGTTAAACACCAGTGATCCTGAGGAGCTAGTTATGGGGTCGTCCCTGTTGGCAACCCACACCACAGTGAGAGGATTAATGTTCTTGTACCATATTCCCAGGTATCTGTGACTAGAGCTGCCAAGAGAAAAGAACCCAAATTCAAACCTTTGCCCAGAGGAGACCAAGGTCTGGCCATCTTTCAGGGTGTTGTTCGCTGCTAAGGTATCTGCCGCTGTTGCAGAGCGGATTTGGGAGGCTAAAGAAGCGAAAACGTAGCAGATTATGAGAGAGAAAGAAAACTTCATTGTGTTGGACTACGGGGAGATGAAGGAAACATGAAAGCTGTGTTCCTAGCACTTTGTTTTGCTTTTCCATAATTAAACTTGAAAAAGTCAGAGTCCAACAACCAACTTCTAACTTCTCAGTTTTGGACCTCTCGGTCTTTCGGAGCATTTGAATATGTTTTATCAGGACAACTTGCTGGTACTTGCTATTCAAAAATATAAGTATTACCACGTGGTCAATCACCTCCCTCCCTTAAAAGTATGCCTTAACCGGTGAATAGGTCAATGATTTGTCCCCTTTTCAAACTAAGTTATAGAAAAAACGTCATGCCTGATAAAGCACGAAACTTCTCCAAACATGATTGGGTAGTAATCATCATGGACTTGTCCCAATGATTCTCCGAGAAATACAGTGAATGCGATGTGAACGTTCTTAATTCTCGCTTATTGTATCAGGTTCTTGTTTGAATGGCGATTTTTCGTAGTTGTATATTATTTTGTACCACACAATATGTAAACGTTTCAACCTTGCGGCGACCCTAAGACAGCGGTCTCTCTACGGAACTTAACCACTGACCGTGACAGTAAATTGCCATGGGCACGAAATGTTGGAAAAAGTTTTGAGTTGTCTAAGTTTGATTGTTATAACGATAAAAACTAAGTTCACATGGTTGTAGAGACTAACAAAAACTAAAGTGAAGAAACCAAGAATTGTAACTTTCAGTAAACCTTGAAAATCGTAATGGATAATCAGTACAGGTACATATGATTGGGACAAAAATGAATGCTTATATATTCCATTAATACTGAAGCAGGCTATCTTCCAGATAAAGCAGTGACAGTTAATTCATGGGCTGTGCACAAATTTTTACCACTTGATGTATCTTTGCGCAAACTCTCAGCACAATATCCAGGTTCTTTTGGTTTGGGTAACGTTGTACTCTCATTGCTTAACATTGATAGCACAGACAACATAGTAGGCCTGTCTTCTGTCCGTTGCTGCACACATAGAAGACCGACTTGGATGCATCTCACCACCTCATTCGCACAAAATGTGTCCTCCATGAATTCATCCATTAGTTCCAGTGGATCCCCTTCATTCCATAGTTTCCATGCCTGAAACAATTTTAGTCTGTAAGTTTATCAGAATGAAACATAGAAGTTAAAAGTTGTATTAAGCCAGAACAAATTGTTGTAGTCTTTAGACTTAATGATACACTTACATGTCCCAGAAGGTTTAAATCATGGTCAGGGTGACGAAATCCCCAGTTTTTTTTGCCACTTACTATCTCTAAGACCAAAACCCCATAGCTAAATACATCTGATTTCACTGAAAAGCGCCCACTCATTGCATATTCTGGAGACATATAACCACTGCATAACAAGAAAAAAGTTTCAGAATTCCTACTAGTAGATACGAATTTAAACATACACCTAGCACTTGCGAACATACTATGTTCCAATTACTCTTCTGGTTCTTTCTTGTGTCCTTTCTCCTCCAAAAATTTTTGCTATGCCAAAATCTGAAATTTTGGGATGCATCTGGTCATCTAATAAGATGTTGCTTGCTTTGAGATCCCTGTGTATAATTCTTAGTCTAGAGTCCTGATGTAGGTAGAGAAGTCCCCTGGCAATGCCCATGACAATTTCAAGGCGCTTCTTCCAAGTTAAAAAGTTTCTCCTTGTTTTATCTGGACATGTCAAATGGTTAAAATTGTTAAGCCCTAAGAACATCATGTCAATCAATAGAAAGAAACAATCAGATTATCATATGCTAATCATAAACGGCTAGATGACCAGAGTCCAGACCAAATAGGCAGTAGTCCAGGCTTTTGTTTGGCAAATACTCATAGATTAACATTCTTTCTTCTCCTTGAATACAACATCCCAAAAGCTTAACAAGGTTACGGTGTTGTAGTTTAGAAATCAGAATAACTTCATTCTTGAACTCTCGGAGGCCTTGTCCAGAATTCTTTGAGAGCCTCTTCACAGCAATTTCCTTTCCAGTAGGCAAAACACCCTGTACAATACCACACCAAGCATCAGAAATCTCCTCACATACAAAATAAATCCTAATTCAGGGTTTTCTTTTTCCTTTGTTTTTTCTTTTGATGGTGTTTTGTTATCTTATAGTAACCATGTCTTCCTTGATTACTATAACATGATTAATGATAATCACCTTGTACACTGGACCAAATCCACCCTCTCCAATCTTTTGCTCAAAAGAGAATTTACTAGTGGCTGCCGAAACAGTACTAAGATCAAAAAGTGGTAGTTCCAGGTCTTCCTTCTGATATAGTTCTTTAGCATCCCAGAACATATTGTTCCCATTTCTAGCTGTTACAAAGCAATTAATTAGCAAAAGAGATGGGATTAATCAGAGAAATAGATTTCATATTTAAACCTATAGTGTTAATCAAAAGCTCCTAGCCTGCTATTGTCTATTATGGCAATGCCTAACAGAGGTGATTGAGTACCAGAAATGAAAATGGTAATCAAGATCACACCTTAAACATCAACTGGGATCTTTAAAAAAGAAGGGGGTCCATAACCTCAATTGAATTAAGTACAGAGTAGATAGTTATAGTGCCAATGAGGTCTTACCTCTCATCTTTCCCCTCACTTGAAAATTGCACCAGCCTGCAACTCCAAAAAGAAGCATAACAAAAACTGATAACGTGGTGATGACTAAAGCTATCTTCACTTTCTCTTTCCTCTTAGCATCAGAAATTGATTCTGGCACCAAAAAATTGACAAAATAAACATTTTTTTTTGAAAGATAAGTTTTTATTAATGATAAGCTGAAATGCCGTGAGGAGTCTTCAACGTTGAGATTTGGAGACTCCTGTTGGTATGGAAGCTATCATAAGAAGAGCCTGTTCTGAACAATTACAAAAGGAGCAGCTGCTCAAGAAGCACTTGGCAGCATCTCAACACGGATAATCTCAAAAACAAGCAGAATTTTGAATAAATCCCTAAACAAAAGTCTAATACTAGTAAAACTCTATCAGAGTGATAAGATAAATAACAAAACAAACATTTTGTTCTGTATTTTAAAGGTTTTCTGCTAAAGCCATTGACATTTAGAAGCTAGGCTTATACTAGCTTACATGAATCTTCTGTCTAAGTGTGGTATGATCAGATTCAGGAGTCTTCTATGACTCACAGGCCCAAAAGGGTATCAAATTTTAGACCCTTCATTTCCAGGGAAACAAAGTAGTTGAAAAAACTATCAATTTTCTAGGATTGAGTTTAAAAATAAGTGCAGAACTGAAATTTATGGGTGGGTGTCAACTGTCAAGCAGTTATTAAACTTACTCTCCTTCTGAGTAGCCTAATCATGTGCTTATTTTCTTTATCCTAATCACTCAATCCATACATTTTCGAATTTAACCTCAAGATGGACAATATGGGTAAAATATACCAGTGAAATCCTGTTGAATGGTTGATTTCAATATTCAAAGAGCTATATCTATTCATTGGAAAACGTAAATTACAGAGGTTCTTTCGCAGGGTTTCTTACGTGTTAAACCAGCCAATAACATGCAACGCATACCAAATATTGGATTGGAAAACATTGAAATACATACCTAATTCTGCCCTTGCCATTCGAATATAGAGGTCCTCTCCCTCAGGATATTTCCTCAAGTCAACCAAATCACCAAACCACAGTATGCACTCCCTCCCATTTCCATGAATATCTATCCTGGTGTAAGCCATGCAAGAACAATTCTTCTGACACTCTGCTTCACATTCCTCAAGGCTCAGACTCCTATTTGCTGCTAGATGTGCATTATCAGGCAACTTCATTCGTTCGTACTTAACAAAGCCATCAGCATTACTGCAATTTAAATCCCGATTCCTGACACACCCTTTTGACCAATCTATCAACCGCCAATCCTGTGGTGACTTGGGCTTAAAACCTCTCAAACACCTACAATAAGGATCACTACTATAGCAATTCCCATGAGATCCACATAACTCGTATCCGTCACAAGCATCTCGTTGTGGAGATACTATCACTACCCACTCATTGCTATGGTTGTTCCATGTGAGATGCTGAATTAAACCTAGCGGTGTCACCACAAACCTTGACAAAAGTGAACTTTCTATAACTTCGAACGAGTAGTAAATCTCTTCAGGGCTTGAATTAAACATTGGTATATAAACAGGATTAGGCTTTAGCCTTCGGCCACCACTGAACCTGACCCCATCCCATGGACCCCACCTGTTCTGTTTCTGGGTTCCCTTCCTGACAACAAACTGTGGAGTCTCGGGTTGTTCCACGCTGACCGTGAATTCCCCGGCTGCTGGGTCATCTGTGTCAATCCACGATGTCATATAACGGTTCAAACCTGTCTTGAGATTCCATCCGAGTTTCATTCCAGGCAATAAATTATCAGTTATGTGATCAAAACTTTGCCATATATAAGCACCGCTGCTGTCAGTCAACACAAGGTTGCCATTGTCTAGAAGCTGCAAGATAGGGTTGCTCAAGACCCTAGTGACATTAACAGACCAAACAAAAACTGTATCATTAAGCAGAGAGAGTGAACCGTGAGGGCTAAACACCAGAGATCCCGCGGTACTAGTGATGGGGCTATTCCTGTTAGCAACCCAGACAACGGTGAGGGGTATGCTCTTGTACCATATGCCTAGGTACCTGTGACTGGAGTTGCCTGGACTGAAAAACCCAAGTTCAAAGCGTCGGCCGGGGGAGACCAAGGTCTGTCCATCATTCAGGGTGCTATTTGCGGCTAAGATATCTGTTGTCAGTGTTGCTGTTGTTGCGATGAAAGAAAGGAAAACATAGCAGGATGCGAGAATGAAAGAAAACCGCTTATCTTTCATGTTGTAGGAAATCGAGGCAGAAGACGAAATTCTTGTTGTGGACTACTGGTTCTTGGGTCGTTTCATCAATCAGAGAAGATCGGTTGATCAACTTAGCTTTAATAGTGAAAATTCAACCAAATTCTACTTCGTATCATTTTTATATTGAAAACTTTGCTGGAAGTTCAGATACGGTGATTTCTGATGGAATGATTTGTCGTTCAGCAGCCATCTACTGAACGATAATTTGTGTCGAACAATTCAAATGCCAAAAACAGTATCCACAAAGGGCAATGGTTGTCAAATAAAAAATCTTTCTTATTTTGATGTGCTATGGTTTGCAGAAATGAAAGCACACATTTCCTGCTCTACGAACATTGATGTCAAAGTGTTCCACCAGCCCCTTTGACATTGCTTGTTGTCAACTTCTTACTTTTGTTCTTATTAGTTTATTAGTATTTCTGTCAAATTTTCAAACCTTGAGGTGACAACAGTCCCCACAAGGGACAATGGCCAAATAAAACAAACCAGGACTCACATTTTTGTTGACTTGAAAATATGAAACTAAAAAGAATATATTGTATTTACAAGTTTAACACCACCAAAGTTTCATCAATACCCAAAACTGCCACAAAAATTACAGCTAAGGCTGTCATGAAAATCCAACAGAGTGTACAAGGGGAACTTTTTTTGAGACACACAAACACCCTAGATGAGGCAGGACCTTCCATTACCTAGCATCTAGCATTGTAACTGTGACTTGGTTCACTGTGCATGATTCATCTTGCTTACTGGTAGATGAATCAGTTTCAAGAGTACTTCTTCCTAGGCAAAAGCCAGGGGTTTTAGGCTGGGGCATTGTTGCTGTTTCACTATTCAACATCAAAACCACAGTCGACATAGTTGGCCTGTCTTCTGCACGCTCTTGCACACACAAAAGGCCAACCTGTATACACCTAAGTACTTCTTGTGCATTATAGGTGTCACCTACTGCTGAATCTATTAAGTCCATTCCCTTCCCTTCTTTCCACAATCTCCAAGCCTGCAATAATGGGAATCATATTCAGTGTTGATTGAGTGACATGAAAAGCTCTCGCTACTATTAAGAGTATGAGCATCAGCAGAAATATGAATGTGGTACTGTGCTTACATGGCCAAGAAGGTTGAGTTCACTGTTTGACTGATAAAATCCTCTGTTCTTCTTGCCACTTACAACCTCCAACACCAGAACACCAAAGCTAAAAACATCTGATTTGGCTGAGAAGAGACCATCCATTGCATATTCAGGTGACATATAGCCACTGTGTATCAGAAGGTAAATTAGGATGAGGAATTACTTTTAATTTTACAGTTTCGAGCTAGTAGAGAAATCAAGTTTGTAATACTTACTAGGTTCCAACTACTCTCTTCGTATTTGCCTCTGTTTGATCACCACCGAAAATTCTAGCCATGCCAAAATCTGAAATTTTCGGATTCATTTCTCCATCAAGCAAAATGTTGCTTGCTTTGAGATCTCTATGGATGATCCTAAATCTGGAATCCTGGTGAAGATATAGAAGTCCTCGAGCAATACCGCAAATAATGTTGAAGCGCCTTTGCCAATTTAATAAGTAGCTTCTTGCTTTATCTGAAAAGGTTTCCAACTACTATAAATGCCATGAATGTAAAATTGTTACCTTAATCAAATTTCTTAATTAAAGAGAACCCTGTTGAGTTCATTAAGTTGTTAGAGGGACTAACTGAATAAAACGGAATCCAGGCTCCTGTGTTCCATGTACTCATAGACTAGCATCTTCTCATCCATCTCAATGCAGCAACCAAGAAGTCGTACAAGATTCCTATGCTGAAGCCTTGCAATCAATCTAACCTCATTCTTGAATTCTTCAGTCCCTTGCCCAGAGTTCTTTGAGAGCCTTTTTACTGCTATTTCTTGACCCTCAACCAACCTACCCTGGCATGAGCATTCATTTTTGCAGGGTTAGATTTTAAGAGCATCTGTGGCTATTTGCATGCAGTAGTATGTTTTTGTATCATTGAATTTACCATGTATACGCAGCCAAAACCACCTTGTCCAAGTTTATTTTCATCAGAAAAGTTATCTGTAGCTGTTGCTATGGTATCAAAATCAAACAACGGTAATTCTAGTTCATCAGGTTGCCTTTCAGCGGAGTACTCCTTCTTACTTGAGATAACCACCTCATTCAATAGAAAATCTTGGCTTCTTTCATGAGGACCTGTAGAACCAAAAACATAAAATTTTAAGACCTAAAAGAATGTAGGGAGATCTATGTTTACTCGGTCATCCAAACTCAAGTTACCTTTCTTTCCTATTTTTCCTTTGTTTTGCACTGCCTTCCTCTTCCATACCACATAGGCTATCAGCCCTAAAAGCAAAGCACCAGCACCCACCGTAGTGCCAATGATTAGAGCAGTAGTGTTCCCACCATCTCCTGAAATAATTTAGCCATTATATTAAGAATTTGTAGGCAGGAAAAAGGAGGCTTATAGTCCGAAGGCCTACCCTCTGTCACTTCCACAAATTACTGAAATGGTTTCCATTTCTTGTTTTCTGGGAAGTTATTATATTCCCATTCCTATATACTTGAGCTAAGACTGTGGTTTGGAGTTTTCCCAGCATGTCAATGATCAAAACATAAACGATAAGTTCACATTAGATGTGAACTCATAAATATTGAAAGCACACGTATTATAAAATGAGAATCGCAGCAACAGAAACCGGGGTACCTGCACCAGGGTTCCCAGTGTGACGAACCAGCTTGGCTCTCTGCCTCCAGTCATTACTCTAATAGGTCATCTTCCACACAGCACAAACAATGAATTATGCAAAGCCATGAATGAGACAGCGACCACAGAACCAGTAATTACCGTGGCTTCACCAAAGCATACCGCCAATGCTGTTTTGCCTAAGTCTACCCCTTCTAATGCAGTCACTCCAGACCATAAAGTTTCACTACTTTTTAGTTGCAACGTAATTTCAGTTCGGGGTCCAATTCCATCCATCCAAATGAGAATCCTTTCAGGACGCCATCATATTTATTAGTTGAAACTTTAATAACAGAAGCAAACATAGATTTCTGCCATTACTCACGTGGACCTTCTCTCATGTATTCTCACAGCCTTTGCCCAATTAAGTCAGTCGGCTGTATACAACTTGAATTCGACAAGGATAGGTTCTTAGACCAGTACCTTTAATTATCTTTCTTAAATTAATGAGATTTGGGCCTAAACATTCCACCCTTTTCGGTGGATTATGGGGCCAAGGGCTTATTAACTCTCCTATATGGAACCTAATTTAGGCCTGAATTTTCAGCAGATTCTACCCCAAGTGGGGTTAAGGGAAAGAGTGTGGGCGATTAGGTCCTAGACCTAGACCTTAAAAAGCCTGGAACTTTTCTTTTCCAAAGAACTTTTTTACCCGGTTACATGCAACACACAATTCATAAACGATTACAATCACAGAAGTCACTCATATTCGACTAGTCATAGTTTATTTGTTCATTATTATTGATACCAAACGCTAAAACAAAGCTTTATGGCATTATGCTCTGAATAAGAGCAAGTTAATGGCGTTTAAACCGGTATACTAAGATTTGGTAACGCTTTAGCTCTTTCTTTTAAGAGAGTGGCATGAAAAGGTGTTGTATTAGGTAAAGAAAGGAAAGAACCTGAAAACGATATGGAGCTCCCATCCTTTTCGTTTTAATACCTTTATCAAAAAGAAAAAGACAGAGAAGGAACCACCTCCCCAACTGGACCCACAGAATTATTGGCCTGCCTGAAATATTGAAATTGTACAGTACCATTAACACTGTAATTTGCTTAGATTTAACTTCAGGACGGGAAATTGAGAAAGTACCAAAAAGTCTGGGCTCTAACCATTGGCTCCGAGGTAATTGTTAGATCTAATTTTACAAAGTCAGAAGCCAATTCTCTTAGTGTTCCGCTTGCAGCAGCACATTGTTTGGAAACGGAGATAAACCTTAAGATTGTTAGAACACCAAACTGAAAAACTTAGAAATTGGCTTCAAGGCGTGTATCAATGCCACTATCCTTAAGGTTTTATTCGCCCCCACTTAAGTGTGCAAAAGAGTTACCGGCGTATAAACCTCGAAGATACAATGAAGCCCAATGATTGATGGCGTTTTGCACTGACGAAATCAATCCACTGAGCACTCACCGGAGTATAACAAGATTATCAAACTTCTATAATACTTTCTGCAGGAAAATAGTATAGAAGAAAACTTGGAAAATGTTTGAGAAAGAAGATTGAGAGATATTGTTGTTTTTTCTTCTTTTCAATGGATAATGAGGGTCATCTTTTATAGGCATAGATGCCTGTTCTCAACAGACACTATTTGTGTCTGTTACAAAGAGTTGCTTCTATTGATCTTTTCCCAACAGACGTGACTCTTTATAGTGTCTATTGATTTAATTTTCAACAGACACAACCCTTCTTTTCGATATGAAATCATATTTATTTGAAAATATCCAACAAAACAAAAACACATGCTTCCATTGCGGAAAACCAGGACATTTCAAAAGGGAATGTCGATTATTGAAGAAGAAAATTACTTCTTCAAATGGTGTTGCTTCTGAAAACTTTGTAGCCATGATTTCAGAAATCAATATGGTTGAAGAAAATGATGATTGGTGGATTGATTCAGGAGCAACCAAACATGTGTGTAATGACAAGAATTTGTTCAAGAATTTCTCTCCGAGTGATCACTATAACTTTTGTGAGGTCTAGTGAAAATTTGGCGGATCCTTTAACAAAAAATCTTGCTAGAGATCTTGTAAATAAGACCTCAAAAGGGATGGGACTCAAGCTCATAAATTGAAAGTCACCCATGGTGGAAACTCAACTCAACGCTTGATATAACGTCAAGTCTTGAGTTCAATGAGACAAAGTACATCATTTGTATGTGGCTGCTAGCACTATAATATGTTATATTCCATCCTAAGTGAAGTGCTAGGGACCCGTAATGATAAGGAAAGGATGAGTTATATATCTTAATAGACCCATAACATAATTTGTTAGAATGCTTTAGTTACGGGGGCATTCATGGGATCTACCTATGTGAGTATGAAGTGTGGCCGCTTCTAGGAGTTCAAGAGCTTGGCTCTAACAGTACTCATGAAAAGAGGATATGGACGCATGGCCATAAAAGCGTCGCCGGATACTGTGCATTCATTGGTGTTGAAATCATTGTGTGAAATGTGTTCGGTTAACCAAATGAAATAGCTGGTTCAAAGCAGAGTCTACCATGCAATTTCGGTTAACTTTAATATGTTTTCACTAAGTAAAGGTTCAATCGGAAGACACCTTCATTTATGCAATTGATTTCCAAGATTATCGAAAAATTTGGATTAATTTGAAAATGGTGGGGGATTGTTGGATATTTTCAAATAAATATGATTTCATATCGAAAAGAAGGGTTGTGTCTGTTGAAAATTAAATCAATAGACACTATAAAGAGTCACGTCTGTTGGGAAAAGATCAACAGAAGCAACTCTTTGTAACAGACACAAATAGTGTCTGTTGAGAACAGGCATCTATGCCTATAAAAGATGACCCTCATTATCCATTGAAAAGAAGAAAAAACAATATATCTCTCAATCTTCTTTTCAAACATTTTCCAAGTTTTCTTCTATACTATTTTCCTGCAGAAAAGTATTATAGAAGTTTGATAATCTTGTTATACTCCGGTGAGTTCTCAGTGAATTGATTTCGTTAGTGCAAAACGCCATTAATCATTGGGCTTCATTGTATCTTCGAGGTTTATACGCCGGTAACTCTTTTGCACACTTAAGTGGGGGCGAATAAACCTTAAAGATAGTGGTATTGATACCGCCTTGAAGCCAATTTTAAGTTTTTCAGTGTTCTAACAACCCACACCAAGTCAAAAACGTCGGCACACTGTGTGAAAAAGATCGGGACCACACTGTTTATCTCTTTTATTGTCTTCTAAAGGGTTTTAGGTGGGAGAGTGGGGACATTGAAAACAATAACATCTTTCATTAAGCGCTTATGTCACGGAACCTATCATGGGAGTGGTTCAGCTAGCTTCAATCCGACCCTCGGACTCTATCCTATGACAGACAGCCTTATCAACCGTTGATTCATGAAAGAATCGAAGATATTCAAAAGCGTGCCTGGGATCCCGCATGTTCTAACAGTGATCTGACACACGTGGCTCAAAAAAAGTTCAGTCACCTGTGAATTGTGGTTCGAAATTTTACCAAAAGGATGAGAAAATTTTCAAAAGCTTGCCGTATTTCTAGAGATTGTACTTCTAGCATTGTGGGGTTAGATAAGCTTCACACCGAACATTTGTGCCATTCAATGTTTCCATACCTGTTTTTGTTTTTGGGGTTGAGATAATGTTTCCAAGCTTGGTTCAACTAATGTGAACCTCAAGCCCTCAAACTCCAAAACAGGGGATTCCCTGTTCTAGTTGACTCGATTCAACCGAGTCAGATTATGCATAATTAGTTATGAAAAACAATTCCGAGTGAAGATTATTAAAGAAAGAGAAATTTGAAACGTACCTAGATCAGAAGCTGCCAATCTAACATAGAGATCTTGACCACCACCATCTGTATATTGCCTCATATCAATCAGGTCACCAATCCAAATAACACAACCTGTGCCTCCATTTCGAATGTCGGAGTTAGAATAAGCAGTGCAAGAACAATTCGTGGAGCACAAAGCTGCACAATCCTTTAGGGTCTTATTTTTGTCCACGAATGAAGAAGTACTTTCTGGCAGCTTCATATTAGGCAGGTGCAAGAACTTGTCCTTGGTGCAATCAAGATCTGTCTTCCGAATACACCCACCAGACCCATCCCTCAAATTCCATGCTTGCTGATTCTTGGGACTGAACCCTTTTGGGCATTTGCAAACTGGAGATGCGTTGCTGTCACATATACCATATTGACCACACTCCCGGTAATTGTCACACTGGTCTTTTGGTGCGTACCAAAATGGATTCCATTGTTCAGTATCAGGGATCCACGTTAATCTTTCAAGAGTCCCAGTTGGAGTAACTATCAACCTGGAAAACAAGTTCTTGTTTGTTATAGAAAATGAATAGTATACCTCATCTTGGTTGGTGACAAAGTTGAAGCTGATATAATCAAGAGGTTTCATTTCCGGAACACCGCTAAACCTTAGACCGTTCCATGGACCGCTTCTGTATTCTATCTTTTGCTTGTTCCACAAGAATATTTCTGGAAATCCATGATAATCTAGCTTGAATGAGAAATCCCCAGATGAAGGGTCTCCTCTAGTTCTCCAACCTGTTAAGAATCTGTTAAACCCTGCGTTTAGATCCCATCCGAGCTTCATATCTGGTAATAAAGTATCTGTAGGGTAATCAAAGCTCTGCCAGAGGTAATGGTTGGTCTCATCGTTAATGTTTGCTTCTCTTAGAACCAAATTTCCAGAGTCTAACAACTGTGCAACAGGGTTGTCACCCTTTGTTATGTTTGATGACCATACAAGATTCTGTCCCTGGTCAAGAAGAACGAGGTTTCGATCCTCCAGCTTGAAAATACCTGACGAGTTTGCAAGTGGCTTGTCTCTGTTGGCAATCCACACGTATGTTCTGTCAGGAATGTTCTTGTACCATATCCCCACGTACCATTCACCTGGAATTTCCAGGGTGAAGAACCCAAACTCGAAAACATCACCTGGGGAGACGAGAGTTTGGTTATTTATAATAGACTGAGTAGCAGTTAAGGTGTCAATGGAGAAGGAAATTGTTGGGAAGATAGCCAGGAAAGCGAAGAACAAGAAGAAGCTACAAAGATGGTGATTTCTTATAGTTCCCATTCTTCACTCACTCTGGCTCTAGGAGCTCCTCTCTCAAACTGGTGTAGCTGGTTTGTTCACTTTGAAGACATTTGGTATAGTTTGATAGGAGAGGATGCTTGACTCTTTGCTACCTTTTTTCTCCTCGGTTTATTCGTTTCTTCTTAGAATTTGCCATCCCAAAAGTTATAGTAACAGTAACCTTAGAAAAAATAATACGCCTGGTTTGGGCTCGTACATGCCTTTCACTAGGTCAAAGACTGAAAACGGGAAGATCACCTAACCATCTTTTTATATTTATGAACACGAATGTGCTCTACGGCTCTCCCCGTTCGCTGGTATTCGCTGTTGGGAATGGGCATTTCACATTTCACAAAGAAAACGAACGTTTTCACACGGGGAATGATGCTGGGCTTCGATATGGCCCTCGGAAAGGGACACTTCTTGGACAGAGCTGGACCCTCCCACCAAACTGATGAGAGTGCTTTTTGAGTCTTGGACGGTAGGTATTCTACTTGGATTTTGCTGTTTATTTCTAATTATTGTCAATTTAGTCAAAAATAAAAAGAAAAATCCAAGTCATCTAAAAATATTCGTCATGATCAAAGCCGCCCGTGAAAATTGTCCTCTCCTTTGCTTTACATTCATTGGACAGGACAAGCTTGTGTGCTTTTTATATAAATTTTGCTAAGACAAGTTTAGTCAAATTACCAAACATAAGTAGACAATCTTTTGGGGTCTTTGTTAATCCTAGTTTTGCTTTCTTGTTATTTAATTTAGAATCCAAATCTTTTGTTTGTTGTTCTTGATGTGGAACTTTGCAAAAACTAAAACTTCTTGGTGCAGGTGAGATATTTTCTTTAGCCAATTAGAAAGGGGAGGTTGATGGGCTTTTCACATTATTTAAAACCTCATTTAATTTCTTTATTTAATTAACTATGATTGTAATCACACTAGTTGGTATTCCTATAAAAAGTTGTTTGTAGACAGAGTCAACAGTTAGCTCTTTTCCAGGTAATTCCATTTCATTTTGAGCTACTTGGATAATAAGACTGGCTTGATTTGCTTATTGCTACTTGTTAGTACTTAGTACACAAGAGTTCATGCATTCTAGTATAATTTACTCAAAGTCAATCAGTGACTGAAGATGACAGATAGCCGGGCTTGATCAGTTCTCCTGATGAAAACCTGCTAAATTGATGAATGTAGAAACTGCTAGATTGACCTCAGATGAAAAATAAATACATGCTAAAACTTTTCTGAACTCCTTGTTAATACTCAGGACAAAAAGAGTACAAACTTTTTAGCAGATTCAAATGATTTACAAGCAATTGGAACTGAACAAGAGGGGTGGGGCTTTGGGTTGAGTATTTTAGCCCACAAAGAAACTACGACGATGCTAATGCTTGCTCCAGAGTGGTTATCGCCCTTCGAGCACGGACTCTGTAAGCTCACACGCGGACAAAAAATGGTTGGAGTCGGATTTTTCAGAGTAGAATCCAGTCTGAAATGTAAATGTAGGTTGTTTTGGCCGTGGAAGCTCGGCTTCGCTGCTTAACATGGAAACAACTGCTGACATGTTCGGCCTATTTTCAGCATGATCCTGAACGCAAAGTAGAGCAATATGAATGCACCTCGTTACTTCTGATGATGAAAAGGAGTCCGAAGCAGCGTTGTCTATATATACTTCGAATGCCAAATAACACATAAAAGCACCAGGCATTGAAAAGTTTTGCACTTACATAGCCAATAAGGCTTATGTGCCTGTCATGACAGTAGGAGGCTGTAATCTTCCTGCCATTGACAATCTCTAACAGGAGAACTCCGAAGCTAAAAACATCCAATTTCTCAGAAAATATCCCACTCAATGCATACTCAGGAGACATATAGCCACTGGAATATGTTTGGATAGACCAAATAAGCAAATAAATAATGCTTAAACTTGAATAGTTGATCACTATAAATAAGCAAAATCTGTCAATGCTGGATAGATGAAACCAGGAAATTAAGCATGATGAAATATGCTTATACTGAAAATAACAAGTTTAGTCTAGACTCTAGAAAGATAAGCATACAGTAATGATGATTCGTGGCAGGCAACAGTTGAATATGTTGTAATTAGATAAAAAAGGAAAAATTGCTTACAGAGTTCCAACGACTCTATGGGTATTAGCTAACAATTGTGTTCCTTGAAATATCCGTGCCAATCCAAAATCTGAAATTTTTGGGTTCATTTTGTCATCCAACAGGATGTTGCTGACCTTCAAGTCCCGGTGTATAACCCTTAAACAAGAATCACGGTGGAGGTAAAGGAGCCCCCGAGCAACACCTTGAATGATGTTGAAACGCTTTGGCCAATGAAGGTCTGCTCTCTTTGTTGGATCTAATCAATGCACCAGAGATATATGATTTCTATGCATCAGTTATCTTCCCAGCCTCAGATCAAAAAGATCAACAGAGAAAAATTCAGTCACCAAAGATTAGAGTGCTGATTAGTTAATTACTGAAAATGACAACCATATTTCAATACTAGGCAAAAGCATTCTGAATTTGTTCCAGCTAGGCAGCTACTTGATCATTGCATCAAATTTTAAGATTCAGGGGCTATTATTGAAACTCAAATACTTGGTTAGTGGCTCAGATGAGTCCAATCTAGACTATGAAAGTGCCACCTCATGGAACCTTTTCTTAATCCTACATGTTCCAGCATGGCAGCATATTAAAGCATTAAGGAATAAGACAGACAAGTTGAGACTTGAGAGCACCCGATCTAGAAAGGGATGGGAGAAGATAAAAAGTGCTTGGTGGAACCAACCAAATAAAAACGTATCCAAGCTTTTGTTGGCCATAAACTCATAAATGAGCATCCTTTCTTCTTTCTCAATGCAGTAACCGAATAGCCTGACCAGATTTCTGTGTTGGAGTTTGGAGATCAACATAACTTCATTCTTGAACTCTTCGATGCCCTGGCCTGAGCTACTAGAGAGTCTCTTGACTGCCACATACTTCCCATCATGCAGCTTGCCCTGACGAAATTCACAAATTTATCAATGTATATATGCATGGTTGCAGCTGTCTATAACAATAAAGCACTTCTTTCAAGTTTGTGTGATTACTCACCTTATAAACTGGGCCAAATCCTCCTTGCCCCAGTTTATTTGCTATGCTGAAGTTATCAGTGGCGACTAATATGCTATTCAGGTCAAACATAGGTAATTCTGATGGATCTTCTAGTTCTAAATGGCTTCTCAATGTATTTCCGGTTAAGATTTCGCTTGAGGTTTCATTCCCTGCCAAGTCAAAGTGTTTGAAAATTCTCTTTCGTTTACGTGATTGTTGAGATTTAAGAACAAAACTCAAATAAAGAACTCATCCAAGCCATCAAATTAAGGGATCTTGGAAAGAAAAAGAAATACTGAACCTACATGGCGATAAGATTTCAGAAACTCATATACGAAGATAGAGACAGAGAGGGTTTACCTATTTTGATAAATCTTTTACGGCGTATGCCATATACTAAGATGCCCAAGATGATGATGCAAGAAATGGCTGTGAGGCTGATAATGAGCTTCTCTCTTAGTCTCTCATCAGCTGAAATTTTAAAAGGAAAGAAAAACAATTAAGACGACAGTTGTGAAGTGTGAGAAGAAAAGGAAAAAATCATATCCATTCTTAAAATTCAGCTTAAGGGCTACACTATCTTCACCAAATTCCGAATGCGCAAGCCGTAAGAAGAATTCTTGCCCACCGAAGGTGAACTTTTGCATGTCTATAATGTCTCCAGTCCAGACCAGACACCCAATTCCATATACAATTGCATAACCTGTGCAGGAACAGTTATTCAAGCACCATTCTTGGCATAGGTCGTTGTCGACTTCCAAATACTCGGAAAGATCTGGAAGTTTCATCCTATCCATCGTCCAAAATCTATCTGTTTTTCCGGTGTTTGTGGGTTTGGAACTTGTGTTTGCCTCGCAAGATAAATTGGTTCGTCTCATGCAACCCCCTGTCCAGTTTCCTTTGCTCCATTCTTCATCTGACTTTGGTGTAAATCCTCTTAAGCAACTGCAAATGGGAGATTCAGACGGGCTGCAAACCCCAAATGATCCGCAGACTCCATAGACATCGCACGGATTTTTCGGTGCTTCCCAATCAACAATCCAGCCCTGGCCTCTTTCCCAGTGCACCAACTGTAGAGTTCCCACTGAAGAAATAGCCATGTTTAAAGCAACAGACTGGTTGTATGTATTAGTATATAAATACACAGTTCCTTGTTGAAGATCTTCTCTGAGGTCAAATATACTTGAAGATGATGAATCCATTTCTGGTATACCAATAAACTTCGTTTTATCCCATTGCCCACTTCTCCAATAGGGTAACGTGTCTTTCCAAACGAAAGCTTGTATTGTTGACCCAGGTAGAAGTCCAACAATAAAATTTCCAGGAGATGGATCACTGTCACTTTTCCAGGATGTCAAGGAACGTCTCTCTCCAGTTTTGACGTTATACGCTATACATGCCCCAAGCAAGAAAGAATCAGAAGGATGCTCAAAGCTCTGCCATAAATACGCTCCTGATATACCATCTATAAGTTCAAAGTTTCCATTATCTGAAAGCACTGCTACTGAACTATTTGACGGGACAGAAACAGTGGTTGACCAAAGAGTGTCTTGGTT